TTTTTTTTTTTTTTTTTTTTTTTTTTTTTTTTTTTTTTTTTTTTTTAAATCTTACTTTAATTTGCATGTGTGTGTCTTTTGGTTTGAATGTGCTAAGTTGATCTTTTTTTGGTTCCATTATTTATGTTACCATCCATTTAAAACAGGCCACGGTGGAATCTATCATGAGGGATAAGATGCCCAGAAAGGGAGGAAGATGGTGGTTTTCATGGAGGGGAAGAAACAGCACAATCAAAGAGGTGAGTCTGAAAAACAAGAGTGTTCCTACTTAGCTCAGCGAATTTTGGTTTTGGGTAGTAGGGTTTGTCTTCATGCGCGTGTCAGTGAAAGAAGCCATCACACTGAGTGTGCAAGAGTCAGGCCTGCCACAGGGTACGCAAAGGCAGCACAGCATGAGGGGAGGTGGAGAAGGGCCCGGAGCGGTGAGCAGAGTTGCCGTCACCTCCTGGCTCTGTTACCTCTCAGCCTGGGGACCGTGATCGGGTCACTCCTGCTCTGTAACGTGTCTTCATCTGTAAAAAGAAGAGATTCAACGTGATGTTTAAATTTTTTTTTTTTTTTAAGTTAAATATCTTCCTGTTGCTTGTGAGAACAGTTTTAACGAGGTAGACTTACAGCCTAGACTCATTCCCATTAGTCGTTTCACTTCGGTGGCTTTGGTTTCCATTTCTATAAATGCCTATAATTTGTTTCAGACCTTTGCCAACCTCTCAGCCTATTTCTGGAAGCACTTTCTTTGCTTGGCTTCTGTGCCAGTGTGTCTGCCTGGTCTTTCCCCCCGCCCCCCGCCTCGGGGGCTGTTCCTCCTGGGCTCAGCCCCTTTGTAAGTGGGTCCTCAAGGGTTGTCTTAGAGCCTTCTCTCCTGCTTCGACTGCCTGTTTTTTTCCTAGGCAACCTCATTCACGCCCATGCGATGACTCCGTTTTTATTAACAAGGAGGGCGTTTTGTGCTCCATGTCCATTTATCAGATAGCCAACTAGGCAGATACCTCCACGTGGATGCTTCAGGCACTTCAAACTTGTCATTTCTGCAATCGATCTGATGGTTTCCTCTAGAGTTCTTCCTTTGTTGGCCCACCGTCAGCAGGTGGTACCACTGTCCACCCACAGCCTAGTGCTTCCTTCTTTCCTCACCCCTCCTGTCAGTTTACCATCCTAAGTATCGCTCAGGCTTTCCATTTCTCGCTAGCTCCACACCCCACAACTCAAGGCTGCCACCTTCCCTCCAAGGATTGCTTCCAAATGGTCTTTTTGTATCCATTCTTGCCCTTTCTTCCTCATTCTCTGCAGTTGGCATTGGTCTATGTAGTATAATGGCCCCATTTATATTTCTCCCTGTTTAAAAGCTTTCCGTGGTTTCCCAGCGCTCTTGTAATTAAGACCAGTACCCCTAGCATGGTCTACAGGACTTGTGTATCCTGGCCCCTGCCTCTGTAGAGCCTCACCTTTTGCCATTCTCCCCCTGCCCTCTGTGCTTCGGCGTCCCTGGCTGAAAGTACATTCTACCCCAGGACTCTTGCACGTGTTATTTCTCTGCCTAGTGTTCTTAGGACCCCTGTCACCCTTCACTTAATTAACTAGCATCTCAAACGGCCCTTTCTGGGCAGGTTAGTCTAGTCTGCTGTTCTCTGCTCTCCTAACCGTGCCTGTGAACTTTTCCTTCACAGGTTTTCTCATCGTTTATAATTATACACCGATTAGTACGACTATTTGATTAGCATCCCTGTGTCCCCTCCGGACCCTAAACTCCATGAAGGCAGAGACCACACGTGCTCGTGGCTTGGATCCCTGTGTTCTCCCGAGCACCCGTTTTGGGACCCAGAGCAGGGGTTCGGCAGATGTTTGAGGGAATGCTGATTATACTTTTGGAATCTAGTGTGAAGAAACCCCAAGGGCAGCGGTCAAGTTGGTTATTATAAGAGTAAAAGAAATCGCAGGAGCTCAGTTTGTTTATTTCATTAGTTCAAAGGGAAAG